CTTACCAATTAGTCAGAGCTATGCATTTCTACTGAATCTATTTGGACTTACCACTTGTAGAACATGATACTGTGCCTTGATATGATCTGGAAGCCACTGATCCAGTACTGCTGAACCCTTTTTGGTCGCTGTAACAATCTTCTCCTTGGTGACAACATTTCCATCCTTACAAGCTGTGAACAAACCACGAAAAACAATTATTCCCTAATTGAATGATATATACTGATAATGACCGGTGTTTCTAAAAGATTATCCACTTTCAACCCTCTATTTTCGACACTCCTGATACATTTACAACTCAAGCTCATAATTAATAATTTCTAGGTCTTCCTGATTGAAATATCCTTCCAAGTTCAACTTACTAAATTAGCTTCTAACCACAAGTTTCGCGCCATTTTCTTCGCTAACTAATCTAGAAACGCCAATAGAAATTAACAATGAACCAAACACAATCGATTCTTGACAATATAAAAAAATTCACTCCAATCAAGATATAATTCCATATACCGTCAGTTTCATCTTCCGCTTCTTCCTCTTTCTTTTTCTCACAATCATCACAAATCCTTTTCAGCAACTCCTTCTTTGAACCAGTGGAAGCAATGCCACGACGAACCGCCTCATCTCGCAGTTGCTGTGCATTCATTTCCCGTAACTTCTCCACATCTCTGATTAAGTCACTTCCGTCCGAGTTTCTAGCATCTTCCGAGTCCCTCCCTCTCTTTTTCCTATTGGTCGCAGCAGCATCCTTACCTTTCAACGACTTTTCCTCATCGCGAATGGCGGATTCTAGGCGAAGAACCTGTATAAACAAAAACAAAAACGAAAATCGTGGTCAACGGAAGCAAGAGAAGAATGCGATTAGAACAAAATGAGAGTAAGGATTCAGATTGAAAACCAGAGCAGGCTTAGTTCCAGAGGTATCGAGACCACGTTGAGCCAGTTGAGTCCGGAGTTCGTCCACTCTGAGCTTGTTCGCCATTTTCACAGGTATGAGCTGTGACAGTTCCGGAGAGGAGTTTTTATAGTAAACGCCCACGCAAGGACATTTGCAGAAAATTCATGGACACAGAGAAAGCCAGTTGAATTTGTCTTGAAATGAGAAATATAGCACTGAAGCTGTAGCGAAAAGACAAATTTGCCCCTATGTGAAATAACAAAATATATAAATGTTTTAATTAGTACGGGTCGATGGTAAAATAGGGGAAAAAAAAAAAAACTCTTCTTTCATAGACCGTTATTTGTCTTATCTATGTAACACAATTTTCGAACAAAATATATATAGGAAAATAAAACTCTGGGAAACTTTTTTTTTTTAGAGAAATTTGAGAGTGAATTTATTTCGTAAGGTAGGGGTATTTTTGTCTATGTAGAATTTGAGGTGGTTATTTTCCTAATTTTAAGAATGGAGGTGTATTTTTCCAGAATATCGGAGGAAGAGTCCTTAAGAAGCTGAGAATAATTCTTCGTGGGGAATGTAAGGATGATATTGTCATTTTAATTTTCAAAGAGTGCGGGACACGATTTTGTTCTCCTTTATGACGATGAGAACACGTCCAAATGGATGAAGTTACCATTTTGACCTTTTACCACAATTTTTCTATAGTTTAATTTCTTAAATATTAGTAATATTTATAAAATAAAAGGTTGATTTTAACATTTAATTTTTTCTTTTTAATTGAAGTATTATCAATTAATTTTTTTTAATAATATCAAGAACAAATTATAATTTAATACACTAATTTCTATTTTCAACCCACTTATCATATACACTCTTTATATCTATTTTTATTTTTTTACATTTTTCTTGTTGAACACGTGGGTGAATATATCTCTATATCTATCTATGTGTGCAATAAATAAATAAATATATATATATATATACTTTTAATAAAGCGTCTATGTTAAAAGGTATTATTAAAAGTCAATATTTTTATATTGGTCAAGGTTCGGGCGGGCCCACATACTACAACAATTAATGTCGAACCGATCAGGTAAATAATTTTAACGTCGTATTTTGAAATAAAATAAATGATAATAATAATCTTAATATTCTATAGATATTTTTTCGATTAAATTAATACAGGCCAAATTAAATTATTATAAATTTAAAATTACAAAAACAAAATCATAAAAATTTAGGGATAAAATGTTTTTTTTTTAATAATTTAAAAAAACATATAATAATATAAAAAAGAAACAGGCCGGAGATTAAAATCGCGTAAGAGGGACCATGACCACAGTTGACCCGCCTTCCCATCATCGTATGTCCACTCGCCACGTGTACAACCACGTGTGCGACCACGATGCCTCGCCCTCCCGCCTACTTCGTCTGTAACCCTGCCAAAACGCCTCTATATAAACCTCCTCTCTTCCACTTCTTCTTCACTCGTCTCCACTTGCAAAAAAGAACTGCTCCATTTTTACAAATTCTCTTACAGGTTTCTCTTCCGCTGTTGTGGAGGATTTTCTCGAGAAACAAACAACGTTGAAGAATCTTGTTCCGAAGAAGATCTCTCCACCAACAGCGCTTTGAGTTTTTATTGATTTCTTGCTTTTATATTCATCTTCCAATGGCTCGCTCTTTCTCCAACGTTAAGGTCATATCCGCTCTCGTTGCCGATGGATTCTCTTCCGCTCTCAGCAGGTGCTTCTTTTTTTTCTCCGTTTTTTCTTGGATCTTTGTCTCGATTGTAGTGTTTTTTATGTTAATATTTGTATAATTGTTGTTTGTATGGTTAGGCGTGGCTACGCGGCGGCGACGGCTTCGCAAGGAGTTGCGTCGAGTGCGGTCAAGGGAGGAAGTGTTGCGGCGGCGATGAACAGTAATCTGTTGAAGAAATCGGGGGAGGAGAAGGTTGTTGGATCGTCTGAGAAGGTTTCTTGGGTGCCGGATCCTGTCACGGGGTATTACCGGCCGGAGAATCGCGCCGATGAGATAGATGTTGCCGAACTTCGTTCGGCTCTCCTTAATAACAGGAATTAAAGGCGTTTTTCTCGAAATGAATTGAAAGTAAGTTATATTAGAAAACCTAAGAAGATGATCGGATTCTCTGAAGCGAACAGAGGCCTTCGGGCTTCGGATCGAAATCGGAAGAGGATTTGATCGGGCGTGAGTGTGGAATTTATGAAGCAGTTCAGGGATTAAAAACAGGCTCTAGGGCTTCGATCGGCGGCGTTTCCGACTACCGTTCAGACGTTAAGTTTCTTTTATCAAAATCACTCTACAATACTCTGTGTCTAGGATTTTAAATGTTTTCCGTCACTGTAGTAGTATGAATACATGATGAATAAATAGGCACTCCCCTTTGGTTTCTGTTGTTTTGATCTTCAAATTCTTTAAATTCTTTTTATGTGATGAAACAAAAGACAGATGAAAAGGTGGAAGTGAATCGAGCGGTTTAAGCTCTGAAAACACCGGAAATTTCGGGGACAAGAAATTCAATATGGAAACGCAGTGATAAGAAAAACTAAATTCACTTGGAACCTTCTTGGAGATGAGTGGAAACTTGCATATTCTGAGGTTGTGAAAGAACAGATTCTGTAAGGCCAGTTTTATAAGGGCGTTTTGATTTCTTCATGTATGATTTGACCCCTTCCAACTGTTTGTGTACTGATGTGGCTTTTCATCAATTGGTTGTTTATTATCAAGAAGAGAAGTTTCCTTTTGCTTCTCATGCATGTGAGAGAGTTATTGGTAGACCCTTTTCTTTGACACACGCCCAAAACTTAAATAGTTATGTAATTTGTTCTCATAAGGAATTAAATTATTGAGTATTTTTTTTTAATTAGATTTTGATCCACCCTAGTTGAGTGAGTCGGTGCTACAATATATGTTATGTTATGAGAGAGCGTTCTCAGAGTGTATACGAGCACGAGAGTAATACTATAAAATTGAAGTTTCTATGATTAGATCATAAAAAAAAAAAATATACACACTTGGTACAAATTAAAGTTTACATGGTTAGTGTTGGATGAAAGTCCTAAACTTAGTCATGTCAATAGAATGCTCAAATATTGAAAAAAAAGACTCTAAAAGAAAAAGGAGTCGAGTCTCGATTAAGGAGATGTGTACTTTATTCGAGGGGAGGTGTTGGATGAAGAAAGTCCGGCATCCACTAATTTAGGGAATGATCATAAATTTATAATAAAAAAAAAATACTATTTCTAGGTACAAGGTTCTTCTTGGAAAGCCAAAATAAAAGTCATAAGAGATACTTAATACTTAAAATCAACAATATCAGAGAGAAAATCACATGAATTGGTTAAAATCAACAATATCAGAGAGAAAATCACATGAATTGGTTCTTCGAAAGAAATAAATATTAACATAAAGAAAGCAAAATATGAACGGCTAACATTGGTGGACGGACGTATACACGTGGCAAGATCACAGTGGCTAACATTCCATGAACTCAGTTCTCCTTCTTGGCGACCACAAAGAAAGGGGTGGGCTTGCTTTTAAGTTGGTATCTCCCAATAACCTAACTCAAAACTACCTTTTCCAGTTTCGAATAATTGAAGAAAGAGAGAGAGTATTAATATTCATATAATTATAGCAAAGTATGATCTAAAAAATTAATCTAATCACATAATTATTACCCTATCAACATCAAATATGTTCCCTAAACTTTGAGAATTACATAACACCTAACTTTCAAAGTCTGAAGATTCTGCAAAAACAAATACAAACCAAGTGATTTTCATCATTAATTCAACATAATAATGGACCCATGTTCTTGGTGTTTATTGCTTCTCATAATACCCACCAAAATGTTAAGATAATGCAGGCATTTCATTTGATATGAAGGAATCTAGGTAAGATTTGAAGACTGTTTGATTTTTTTATTTTTGGCTTCAGATAATAATTTCAAACGTCTATTCATCAATTAACATCCGTTTTAAACCACACCCAAGTTCAAAGTTCAAATAATCAAGAGATTTCTACCTGAGATCCGAACCCCTTTTTTATTCTAATCAACACTGAAACGAAAACGATCAATTCAAGCCGAAGAAACAAGGGATTTGGCTTTAATTTTTCTCAGTTTTCCATCCTTACAATCGACTCCGCACCCACCCTGCGGGCACACGGTGAAAATATCCACAGGAAACGACGCTGTAGTCATCCCGACCGAGAACTGCAGATCGTCGCCATTTCTCACCACCTCCACAATGTTGACCCAGAAGAACATGAACTTCACACTAACGCCCTTCAGATTCGTCAGTTTATTCCCTGAGATGTGCCCACTAACCGTGGATTTGTATTTCAATTCATACGGCTCCTGCAGTGAGAAATGGCATGATCCTTTCAAATGAACCTCCAATTTTCCCTTGCCTCGATCCAGCTTGCAATCCACAGCACAATCTGGAAGGAGGCCTATAGGGAGGTTGAATTCCCGAAGAATGTCGTACACCGTTGCTGCTTTGCAATTGCTGGTGGCCGGCAATGCAACGGTGGACGACATGGAGGTGTTGGAGAATGTGGCAAGGGTGGGGCTGTGGGGCTGTGGGGCTATAGCTAATGGCTAATGGCTAATGGCTAATGGCTAATGGCTAATGGCTGTGTCTAAGAGGCCATTGATGGGGGAGATATAGTTCTTTCTTCTTCTTAGTTGGTTCTAAAAATGGGATCCTCCCATCTCGCCGACTCTCTCGGCGTGGTTTTTTCCCCACCATTTGCAGGGGAAATTGGTGTGGAAATGCTAAGGTTGACACCTAGAATTCTAAATTTTGAAAACAAAAACGAAAAGACAATAGCCTAGCAGCACAAAAAGAAGAAACTACGTGTGGGTATGAGAGCTATGGAGATTCTAAATGGAACACGTGCAACTCGAATATGAACAATGAATCAGCCATTCCATAGAGGGGCCATTTCCAAGAGCAGATGAGACAAACAATGAATTCCAAAATTCCCATTCAACGAGGAAGGATTTGCGGTGGTAATTTGAAGAGAAACTAATGAACTTTCTAAGAAATTGGATCAGTAGTAATCTCAGTAGTAATCTCATTGCAGTCACGCCGTGGTTCTTCGCACCTGGATAGTACCAGGATTCTTGTGCCCCGGCCCTTGATTAGATAAACTCCCCTATGACCTACAACTCAAGATGAACCTTGCGACGAGAAGCGGACATTCCCTATGCTGCGATTCCCTCCAGTCCGTTCCTGAGTTGGGTTAGGAGAACATCCGAACGATTCCCTTCATCCACAACAATTTGGTTATGCAAACTGTGGCTGAAGATTGAACTCCAAAATGGGTTTCTCTTCTTGATGACATTTCTGATTGGAAACAGAAAATAGGGTTGATTTAAGGAACATGGCTTGGGATCTTGCAAAATATGAAAAATGGAAGACATAGTTGGCTGAAGATGACATCATCAGGGGAGGTCCATCAGGCTGATGGGATTATCTTACAATTTTACATCATCTAACAAGATTCCAAGGATCACAAGTTCACTCTGGGTAGTCCTGATAGTGTTTGTTTAAGAAAAGGAACTAAAAACAATTGGCTGAAAGAACCTAAAATCAACAATCCAGAAGGATGGGAATTGATTCTAGAACCAGCACCTTATGGGTTAGGAAAGAATCCAGAGAGTACAATAAAACAGTCCAAATGCACACTAAGACCAACTAGAAGGTACGTTCTTCAAATCTAGTAATCAGCTAACAGACAGCAAGCCGATGCCAATTTGCAAAAGAACAGGATATGATCTAGTTGTCTAATTTGGAAAATGGGCAGAAGAGTGTGAAAATGAAACTTGAGGGAGAGGATATCACTGGAATTGATCTAATTGACTCAGAATTGACTAATTGAAAAGTAGGCCAAGAAAGAAAATGATGGCAGTAAATGAAAGCCGACTGCAGAAGATAAGGATTTAGGGTTTCAGACGAACTGATTAGATGATTGATGTCATAGATGATACAAAATGCGTAAATCATTGACCTAATAGATAGAATTGTTCATATCATATATATGAAATCGGGTGTATCAGAGACAGGCAGAAGCAGATTCCAATGACAGAACAAAACAATTCTACGTTCCATCGGAAAAAGGATTATTTCACCATAAATAGAATGGAACAATTGAGCTAATCCGATCTCCGAAATCGCACATAAATTCAGTTCAAAGCAACAGGACATCGCTAGTTTGAAGAAACCAAAGCGATTCGACATTTAATATTCCGTAAGTTATTAAACACAAATTTCACCTACTTTCAAGAAGCCGAAACCAAGCTCCCAACCTTATTGCAGTCAAATCCGCATCCACACTGAGGCGACTCATAGAAACTGTCAATCGGAAAATTGGCAGACGCAATCCCGACGGAGAATCCGAGTTCGTCACCATCGCTAACGACTTCCACGATGCTGAGCCACAGGATCAAGATCTTAACAGAAACACCTTTCAGTTTGGAGAGTTTTCCTTGGGAAATCACGCCCGTGACGGTAGGTTTGTACTCCAGTTCGTAGGAATCGATCGCGAATTTACACTTTTGATCCAAAAAGAGGCTGAATGATCCGGTGTCTCTGTCCAATTTGTAGCCGGTTACTCCGAGGGGAAGAATGCCGACAGGGAAGCCGTACTGTTGGATAATATCGTAAGCGGTAAGAGCTTTTTGAGCAGAGACGAGAGGGCTCGAGAATGAAACGAAAGCAAGGAAGAGAAGAGAAGCCATAAGTTTTGAGAAACTCATCTCCTTCGATTTCTGAGGTTTCTTCTTCTTCTTCTTCTTCGCCTCACCGAGCTCTGATTGATTTGGATTGAGAGCGAAGATGGAGGATTTAATTCTTCAGTGACTTTTACAAAAGGGAAATCTTTTTAGTCAAATTATCCAAAATACCCCTACGTATTTTTATTTAAATTTATTTAAATTTATTTAAAATTTATATAATTACATGCTAAATTAATAAAAATACCTATAATTTTTTTAAAAATTAAAAAATACACTAGATGAAAAATGTTAATATTTTGACATTTATATCGTTTAAGGGCCGGAGGTATGGTAAATTCAGCCAAAATATGACACCTGAATGGCCCGGCACGCACAATCCTATTCTATCTGAGTCCGAGTTTACCCTTACACTTCAAAGAGCCATCTGTAGCAAACTTTTTTTTAAAAGTTTTTATGGTTTGTATATAGACATAAAACATAACAATTCTTTAAAGGATAATGCAAGGCCAATGGATAGACACGACCACTAGTAAAAGGTTCTTTTAGAATGATCTTTTGAGTACTTACAAGCAAAACACTATTTTAAGCACTTGAAAAGTTAATTTCATACCCGTTCAAACACAAACGGAGCAAAGAAAAATGTCATTCCCAAAACAATTTTCTAAACTTTAAGTCTAATTCGGAAAAATAGCGAGTAGACTTGTAAGCTTTTGATAATGGGTTCATGAACTTTCGAGATTCTATCTAATAGGTCATAAACTTAACCATAAAACAATTATTAGACACAATAAAAAAAATTTACGAGAACTAAATGTACAAATCTAGAAGTTTCAACACGGATTAGGTACCCTACAACAATACCAAACATATCATTTAACCTTTATTAATTTATTGCAACTACCACACAAACATCTCCAATTCCTTGCTCTTCTTCCACATTATAAATCATGCGATTCAACAAATTACAAAGATTGAACAAACACAACAGTTTAAACTATGAACCAGAGATCATTCATTGCACTTCCAAGGGCTAAACCCCAGAATTTACTACTCTATCCTGTATGAATGGAAGATTATCATTAAAGAATGGCAAATGATAAATTACCATTTGTAAGATCTTATGGGGGAAGCTCATGCAAACCTTTATGTATGAGTAATCCACAAAGCAGTCTCTGATGCGGCCAATTTTCAGCTTAGAAGACTATCATCAGCACCATATTTGACCTCCATGGATGTTTTCTGCTGACACTTTCCAAAGATAATCAAGGATGAAACAGCTACATAAATGTGATGATAATATACAAAAATGTGCACATTTCTAATCAAACAGAAGACAACAATTGGGAGACTATAAGGAATAAAGTTAGGAATGAACCAATAAGAGGTAGCTGCCATCTCGATCTGCAGCAGAAACAAATAGGCAACGTCGTGCGTAAAACGCTAATCTCGACTAGCTCACATCCCTGAGTCTTTTTATCAAAGTATCCAGTGACTTCTTTTTTGGATTCTGCTTCATTGTGCGACTTCCGAAGGTTCCGAATAACCGATCCGAGGTATCTTTTAGCTTCTCAGATATCGTGACAACTTTCTTGTGGTCGAGACTGTAGTAGCTTCGCTCCCGAATAACTGCGTTCAGGAAATTCTCTGGATGACTGCTCAAAAGCAAATTAATCATTTGTCTTGCTTCAGAAAGAGCTGCCTTTAACTGATTTAGATCCTCCTCCGCAAAAATGGGAGCTTGACTATCCACAAAAGCTTCCAACAATTTAATATCCACATCGATACCCATTACAGCATTAACATTAAATCTCTTTACTGAATCAGCTTGTAAAGCTCCCACGATCGTCACGGATATATGAGAAAGAACATCTTGTAATACCCTTTTAAGGACTTGAACAGGCAATATCTGTTGAGCTGTGGAAACCAGAGTTTCCAAATATATGATAACCTCATTAACATATTCGTTGCCATTTTGTAGAGGCTCGTCAGGTATCCAGTTAACATTCTCAATCAACATCATGAAACCATCAACCTTTGTTTTAAGCAACCCCGAAAGAGTCTCTTCCGCTGACTCGCGAGCTTTGGTCAATGGAAATTGTCTCCTACCCCTCTCAGCCATTCGCAATGGAATGCCAGAGAGCTGAGCAGCATGACGAAAAAAGAAATCGCAAGCGCGCTCGAAGACAGCCATATTTGCTGCCACTTGCATTGCCTGAGAGACTCCATGGACGGATGTACTTATTAGCTTCAACAAGGCTCCATCCAGGACTTCACTCAATAGCCTATCCAAATACTTCTTAACCACATCATAAAAATCAAGCTGCCCACCGTACGACATAAAGCTCACAGAATCCTCGATAAACGACCTCACAATTCGACAGCAGTCGGGCACTGTGGAGGAAAATGGTGCAACAAAGGGAAACGCAGGTATAATATCTGAAACTTGTAGCTGAAAGGATAGAACATTCATTGAATATTCGTACTCTTTCTTCATCAACATTTGCTCAAATTTGTCAGCTGATAATGCCTCAGTAATCTGTTTACGGCAATCTGATATCAACAGCTCGTGATACTTATCCCGGTGCTTGCTCAAAACATCTAGCAAAGGTTCAACAGGATACCAATATCTACGCAAAGTTACCCCTAACAAACTCACATAATCCTTGATTAACAAAAGATGATTAGCAGTTTGCATCCTAGAAAACTGATCTTCCAGAACAGAACACATTTTGCTCATAGCAGTTTCCCATAGATTTTCAACCTCCATTTTTGATATCAGACCCCCACTGGTCCTAAAAATCCTATCCTCTACAATGAAAAATCCAGCAATTTGCGCGAAAAACGTTTGATGCGATTCAAGGAAAGGAGTCATTGATGATACCTGAAAGTCGGATGTCAATTGAAGCTTCCGGTTCTCGAAGTAATAATGTTTGAATCGGTCTTCAAGTCCTAAAGTCTGGTGTATGTGGTAGGCTCTATACAACGGAGTCAAATCAAACCCTAGAAGTCCACCTCCGCCGTTGGAATATAAATCCTTACCATCGCCGCCAACTGCACCAAGGCCGTCCTCATCCTCTTCCTCCAAAACGTACACACAATCTCTTAAGCTAAGCCGACTCTGTTCCTCCGCTTGGCGCTGCTTAATTCGCAGATCCTCTTCACGTTGACGAGCCGACGACGCTTGACTGATTGCTAATTGTCCCAAAGTTCGACTGACGGCTCGGATATCTACCAGCCAATCCCCAAACTCTTTACTCACTTTCCTCTCTATATGCGAACGGATATCAGGAATATTCTTCTCCAGCATCCTCTTCAGCGTCGACGATGGCGTTTTATCCAAACAGTCGTTCTCAATCGAGTCCAAGCATTTCAAAGCCATATAGAAATTGCCATCCTCCAAGTGTTTGTTCGCTCTCGAACAAAGGTCTATGGTATGAACACATGCGCGGACCGAGTCGAGCGCGAGATTGAGGTTCCGCGACACCGTCCGTGCTTCAACGAAGGCATCCAAAGAAGAAAGCAGCGGAAGTCCGACAGATTGAAGCTTAGAGTTGGATTCATAGAGAGCAGATTTAAGAGAATCAACATCAGATAGAAGAGATCGGAGATCATCAACTGCAAGGATGAAGTCCTGATAGTGAGCCTTGCAGACCTCTTCGATCTCCGATTCCTTGGACTTGGAAAATGCGCGTAGGTGATGGAGCAGAGTTTCCGGCTTCCCGGAGGCAAAGGCTTTGCGTACAAACGGAGCTAGATCCTCACCGTTGCAGATTGTCGAAGAAAGAACAATCTGGTCGAGTTTATCAGCGGAGTCACCGGAATCAGCGACTGCCGGAGTCACCTTCCGTCGACTATTGGTGGAGCTCATGGTCTGAGGAATTCCCGCGACAGGGCGGCTGTGAACGGAGGGGATTTCGGGGTTGGGTGGTGGTGGATTTGGTTATTCATGAGGAAATGGAAGGGAACATTGGGGGCGGAAAGGCAATATAATTTATTGACGAAAATGACACTAAGTAATGCATGTTGATCTGGCGTTGACGAGTTGGAAATTTGGGGATTGGATAAGGGTATTTTGGAGATTCAGGAAAATCATGTCCACCGGAGGGAAAACAGTCGACGGGAATTTTGACGCGGGTCATTCGACTGCGGCGGTACCGGATTGTATTCGAGTATAATTTTTACTGGCAGTGAAAGTTTCCCCACCTGAGTAAAAAGGGGTAAAATGATAATTTGGACAGTATTTTCTTTCATGGTTTTTAAGAGCCATACCTAGTGGTTTATAAAATTTAAGTCTAAATTTTGAATATTGAAGTTAAAAATGTTTTTTGAGTTTTTTTTTTTTTAAATAATTTTTTGACTCATAAACTTCAACGTGTCTAATAAATCTCTAAAAAATTTAAAAACCTTTAAAAATAATTGATATGTTAAATATAATTGAGAATCCACGTTCTTAAGAGAGAGGAGTGAAACATTCCTCGTAGACATGGAACCTTCTTCTTTTAACATATGCTTTTTAAAACTTTGAGGTTCTGAAAAACAATATCTCTAAACAGTGAACTTAGACTGTTATAAATGATATTAGAGTCAGACATTAAATGAACTTAGACTGTTATAAATGATATTAGAGTCAGACATTAAATGAACTTGGACAGTTACAAATGATATTAGAGTCAGACATTGAATGATGCACTATGAGTCCCCAATGGAGTGGATTGTGAGATCTCACATTAGTTGAAAAGGGGAACAAAACATTGATATGAAAACCTCTCCCTCGCAAACGCATTTTAATACTTTGAGAGGAAGTCCAGACAAGGATAATATCTATCCGCGGTGGGCTTGAGTTGTTACAAATGATATTAGAGCTAGATATGGGGCGGCGTGCCAGCGAGGACATTGGGTCCCCATAGAGGTGGATTGTGAGATCCCACATTAGTTGTGTTAGAGAGGGGAACGAAACATTTATTATAAAGATGTGTGGAAACCTCGTTGTAAAACCTTGAGGGGAAACTCGAAAGAAAAAATCTAAAGAGGACAATATCTGCTAGCGATGGGTTAGAGGAGTATTATTACATGTAAATTAACGTTGCAAAAGTATTTTTTTTTAGTAGAGTTGTGAATCTAATC